ATATGCAATTCTTTTCAACTTTATATTCATCAAAGAATCCTGAAAAAGTATTAGTTTCCACAACTGTTTTCAAAATTGACAATATAAAGAAATATTTTCACATTAGAATGATTTCTGAAGGATCATGTGACACTGAAGACTGGAGTAATGATGCTGAAAATTTAGTTTTCCATCACAGGAATAAATTACATTTTAAAATATATTAAAATAGAAAACCAGTTTTTTAAATTGTAAAAATATTTCACAGTACTACTGTTTTTACTGTATTTTTGATCAAATAAATGCAGCCTTGGTGAACATAAGAAACTTTCAAAAACATATTAAACATCTTACCGACCCTGAACTTTTGAATAGTTGTGTAGTTAAATATGCACTTAAATTCAATTTGAGGGGGCAAATAAAGCTTATAATAAACAAGTTAATTTGTGAAACTACCCAGATTCACATTATTCACTGAGCTGAAAATCACAGATGTACAGCATGAGAACATATGTGCTGGGTGGAGTCTGCTTGGCCTGACTGACTGTCTCTTGGCAGACACATATTGTAAACAAAAGCTTGACTGTGCATAAGGGGTGCTAAAAAGTGATTTATTTTCAGTTGTAAAGCTTCATATGGGTTTTTAACATAACACTCCAAAGGCGTAACATTCTCATTACCACGTGGATGATCTGTTGACATAAAAGCTGTCCCTGGTCCCCCTTATACAACTTTCCTCTCCTTCCCTTTCGAAACCGAGGCAACCGCAGCTAATGCCTATACCATGACGTAATGCCAGAATGGAATTTTGGGGCTTTTGTGAGTGTCGTAGCAGGCTTCCAAAACTCTACATCATTCACAGCACGATTTTCAATTAAATAGAAAAAAGACAGCTTTCCGTCCCATCTGCAAGTTTTCCTGCCTCAAAACTCTGCAGTCGTTAAGATATGCATTTAATCTTCAAATGAATTATATTCAAAGCCAGAGATTTTATCTTACATAAAAAGGACTTTCAAGTTGCGATTAAGGCCTAAAAAACATCTAAACAAAGTATAAAGGTCCAAGTCTAAACCTTAAAGCACACAAATTTTGGAGCTCAAAACCTTGCACTCATTGTATTACAGAAGAACTCAGAGAAGGATAAACAGTGAACGAGAGACAATGAGAGTGAGTTTGACCTACACAGATGCTGACCACAGACATCACTCATCAAATTAAGCCATTCTAAGCGAAAGTGTGTGTGAAGCTAAAAGCCACTGAGCTGACCTCAAACAGAGATGCTAATGGCTCTGCTTTAAATTACATCACCCTGTCGTCCTACCTCTCCAAACACACACCCAGTGACCCAGACACCCCCTACTAGCTGAGCATTTCCTAGACTGCAAGGACAAGCCTTGCAATTTACTCACTGAACACATGGAATGCAGAAAATACTGCACTGGTTAATAAAATGCACATGCATTTTTAGATCTAGCAAAAAAATATGTTCACATTTTTGTGCATGCAAAGCGAGTGAATGATTTCTTTGCTCATTTATTTCTAAAGACAAATACCATCTCTACATTTTCTCTCCTCAGCCATGTGTCTCAATTATTTAAACAGATGTGGATCCACATCACATCTTGTGGCCATACCCTGACAGTGGACATTATCTCCGCTCTCTTGGTCACATCATACTGCTGAGTCCAGAGTTACGGGTTTCTGGGTGTGCATGAGCTAGTTTGTGTATGTTTGTTAAACTTCTGTGTATTTGGCGATAGCTGGTCACAGTTTGTGTGTGTGTTTGCATGCATGAATGCTGCAGACAAACAGGAATACCCCATATCCCATCCATGCTGACTAAGCAGTCCTGCCCCAACCACGACTGTTTAACATGCACCATTCAGTGCACTGCAACCACCTTCACCATTGCTGTCAGTCTCACTGTACTCCAAATGCATTCTTGTTAACAAAGACATGCTATAGTGTGGTACATGGTCATAAAACCTGGTGGGTTCCATAGATTCAAAATATACTGTAAAAATTATAGGTTTTATTTTTATATTTTCAAGTTTCATTTTAATTTTAAAGTTTTAGAAATTTAGTCTTTGTTTTTTTGTCCTTTTTAGGTGTTTTTGTTTATATATGTAAGTATATGTGTGTATGTGTGTATATATATATATACACACACACACACACACACACATACATACAGTTTTTAATTTTATGTCAGTTTTAGTTTTAATTATTTTAGTACACAAAGTTTAACTAAAAGAGAGAAATACCTTGGGAAATTTCTGAAATTGTCCTTTTTAGGTGTTTTTGTTTATATATGTAAGTATATGTGTGTATGTGTGTATATATATATATATACACACACACACACACACACACATACATACAGTTTTTAATTTTATGTCAGTTTTAGTTTTAATTATTTTAGTACACAAAGTTTAACTAAAAGAGAGAAATACCTTGGGAAATTTCTGAAATAAAATATTTTTTATAATTTATTTCAGTTAACATTTATTTTATACGATACTTGCCCTAATCTTTATCAGTATTTTTTTTTTGCAACAAACAATCAAATTATTTTATTATTTATAAAACTATATTACATAGGCCTAAAGTATTCTTTTTACTACTCAGAGGCAGGCCAGACGCAAAGCATCAAAAAGAAAAACAAGCTGTACAGTGAATAATGCATCAAATACAGTTTTATGTCAACACTAACTTCAGAAAAGATTATATTCATAAAATTGCATTAAATCAACTAAGCAACAATTAACCTCGGGATCTCAGCAGAGTGAAAACGCATCAAGAAATATATCTAAAGTATGAAAGCCATATTTGCTTACATAAGGCCTCCACATGCAACATGCACAACTACCCATCTAATAAACCATTTCTGGGCCTAGTCTTCTCTTCTGTACCCTCATCCATGCGCTACCTATGAGGCCTTTTCCCCTTTCCTCAAACAATGACTGCTTTATACTCAAGGCCCGAAGTGCCACCGTGGGAATGTGCTGAGGGGGAGGACATGTTTTTATTCTGCTATTGGCAACCTAATCAGAGGCTGGCGACGCATAGGTTAAAACTGCTACACACAAGTACTCAAGGCAGTAGGTGTGGACAAATTGTCAATTTAAGGACATTATGGAGTTAATTTGCACATTTTAACAGCCAAATGATCCCCCCAAAAAAACATTTGGCAGCAAGTTCAATGTTCTTATGCAAATTTCCTGGCGTGGTGCAATTAGCACGTCAGTGCTAGATCTACAACATCCTGATCTATTAAACGTTTACAGTCCCACTCATTTAAGCGAATCGATTCTTTCGGAGTTCTTTTAGAAGAACGGTTCAAAAATGATTCAGTGCTACGACGTAACTGCGTCATCACGTGGGCTCTGATATCACGGCGTGGACTATTATATGCTCGAAATTTTAATTGTTCCATAAATCTGTATTAAGGTACAATGGTGTTTATTTGAAAACGTAGTCATTTAGAACCCAAAAAATTATTTGGATCTCTTGGCTGATTTTTTTTGCACGTTTTAATAAGATGTTAGCACTTTCATATATGTGTATCAATAAAATGGTCACACAATCAAGTCAACATAGGCTACGTGTAGTACGTGTTATTTATAACTTTGCAGCTATTCGGCTAATGAAGCAACTTTTTCGATCCATCCGCTCACACGGTTCAATTGATTCTTGGTTCATAGCGAATCGGTTCTCGGTTCAACGAGTCAGCGAGTTGACACGGGATGCGCTCGGATCTATACAGTGCGATTTTATAGCAACAAATCAGCGTTTGTGAACAGGTGTCCTGATATTTTATCCTACCCGTCAGATTGTCCTACCAGGGTTTACTGCGCATGCGCACATTAATATTGCGTCCTTTTTCTCATGCTGAACAACAATATTTAATGTATCTGCATTACTGTAAGGGTAGGTTTAGGGTTGGGGTAGGTGTAGACTTTAATAAAACACAATCTAATAGGTAGAAAAAATATTTATTGTTGGTTTCCTGTAGCTGTATCCATTCTAGCTACAACCGCGAATATAACACATAATTACTGTATTTGCATTACTGTAAGGGTAGGTTTAGGTAGCATTTTTCGTTGTCGAAATGTACTACCCACTGTTTTAATGGGAGGTAGCAAAATCTGACAGGGTAGCACAAATCGACAGAACACCGGTTCAACCAATTCACAAGAATGATCCATTCACGATTGGTTCGAAAAGAAGGCAATGTCGTAAAGATGTTACGCATCTCTCTGAATATCACCTTGACGCCGTAATGATGTCTACTGCACAAACATCTGAAAAAACATGCTCATGTCATGATGACTATAACACAGATGTTCTTGCTGTGTCACAGATGCGCCCCTCCTGAATCACATTACATCACAACAGCAGTCAAACTGGCGACCTTCCTAAAGGACCGACAGCAGCAGTAAATGTGCTCATTTACCTTGCGATGCGCAGAACTGTCAGAAACAAGCAAAATACACATCCGCGCTACTGTAGGAAATGCTGTTTTGATCCCAAAGCCAACGCTGTAAACAGTCGCATTACTACATTTCTCTGCAGTGCGATTATTCCGTATCAGACCGAGCACGGAACCGTTTTAATATGCGTTATGGACGTATATTTAAGCGCTGCGGTGTGTTTGGTTCGGTGGTTGAGGAGCCCTACCTCGTTGCGGCTTCACCTGGGATGATGATGATGATGGAGCGTGCAGACTTTTGCTGCATTGACTCAAAGCTCCCAGGAGCCAGACCACGTGACCCAACTCTGCACGGCTTCTATCTCAGTCATCCAAGTCTACACTGCGCTTTTAAAGGCAGATGCAGTTTTATGCCACGAAGAGTCGTGCAGGGATAAAATCCCTAACAAGATAAGACTAATAATGTTCTTGAGACGGAATATAATATATTTACATCCAGTAAACGTGCTTTCCAGGAATACGCTGTAGAAAATGTTAAATTTACTGTAAAACTGCTAGTTGTAGGTTGCCAGAACATTATCGTAAAAATACTGACATCAATGTGTAGCCTAATTCAATCATCTAACGTCCTATTTTAACGACGATTCACCATAAAAAGTATTGTAAAAAAAAAAAAATATATATATATATATTTTACTGTGTCTTTTAAAATATTATTTTAACGTAGGCCTAATAACGTCCTATTTTAACGACGATTCACCATAAAAAGTATTGTAAAACAAAATATATATATATATATATTTTACTGTGTCTTTTAAAATATTATTTTAACGTAGGCCTATATGGTAACTTACTATATGGCAACTTAACCAATTAACAATTTTGATTGTAGCAGCTACTTTTAGATTACGTCCCCGTTAAAATGAACATATAAATATTTTTAGTGTATCTATGCCGCAAAATAACGCTATTAAAAGCTGTGTGGATCTGTCTCAGAGGGGTTTGTGAATAATTACACTTGCAGTAATGATATCAAGTGGTCTCTGATTCTGTGGGCGTTGATAACGGATTGCACCGTAGAATAAACTGCTCAAACTGTTATACAAGTGATTGAACTTACCTGTAATGATGTCGTCGATCACCAACTCTTTCTCCGTCATCATTACAATTTCCAAGTCTCCTTATTCCTGTTGCGATCCCACTTAAAGTCTAACTTTTGCGCGGCTCATTCGATTCTTTACAAAAAGCTCCCTACTTCTCAAAGTGTGCTCCCCACTGTCCCGTTTCTTAACTACGCTCTTCCACCCACCAGACTTCCGGCCCAAAACTCTTTAAGATGAACTCTTTGGTGCTCATTGAAAAGTAAGTATCTCGAGTTTGACCGAGAGTTGTGTTTTTCTCATACCGTCTAACACCCAGAGAAAGGAAGTGTACCGATCCAGACTTTACGTCTGCTGGCTCTCCATCCCGCCCCGCCCTTCAGCTCGACACATGTGCAAGACTAAGCTAATGAATCCAGTAACAGAGTAAACACAGGCCCCTGAGAACTAAAGTGACACGTAATTAATTCTGTACAGCTATTCGATTCTCTGTGTATACTGTGAAGATATTATACAATATAATAAACTAATTGTGTTGTAAATAGAGCAATATTTACACACTCTCAGAAAAACTAAACTTTCACTGGGGCAGTACCCTTTCAAAAGGTACTAATATGAGAAGAAGGTACTAATATGATGAGAAATTGCTTTCTTTTTATTGAACATATGGGTGTGATCTCAGCCAGGGTGGAGTTTACATGACAAAGGCACTGGGATATTCATGATATCACACAGAATAAAGCAGAACACAATGCAACTCTGCTGTAGACGCTTTGGTGAAACATGGACAAACATTTCTGTTTGCATGTGAGGCTACTTTCTGTTACCGACAAACAGAAAAATTTCATTCATATATAAAGTCACATTTTAGCCTACATATTAGACATATTCATTTATACATACAATCAGTGATGGCTGTTTTTCTAAATCAATTAGTAAACTAAACTTCAGTAGACTATGGCAGTTAAAGGAGGAAACCAGTGTTGGTCACATCCACTGGCATTGCAAGGTTATAAAAAGGCCCAATGCCCCATCTAGTGGTCAATCTGAAATTGACCCACAGGACCCTAAACCTGCCAATCAAACCCCAAACAGGCATTGTATTAACATAATGCTAATCCTACTCTAATATATTTAAAAATGTTCAAAGTGTCCCATACATATTTTGTTCATATTCATTTGTGCAATATTTTTAAATGTAGAAGGAAAAAGGAGAGAAACTAAAAACAAAATATGTCTTGTCATGGCTATATGAAAAAGTAGTTTTCTATTTCCTGACCTGCACAAAAATGCATGGCACATTTCTTGCTGTTAGATTCCATTAGCTTGTTTTGACACTTTACTAAGCTTCCTGTTCACTGCTTTAACAATCACAAAAATTGGGGTGATGTTGCACCAATACTTTCAAAATATAAAATCAAATTACTGCCAAATATAAGCTGGAACTCAAAAAGTCACAGAATGAGTCATGTCAAACTGGATTGGCTTTATTTTTTTAACAAATATCAACTGCATAAATGCAGTGCAATGTATTTTCACTTTTGTAGGAAAAGTGGTTTATGAAAGTATATAGCCTTTAAATTGGCCCTTTGATGATAACAAGCCATGTTCGCCAGTTCAATGAACTCTTGATAAGAACAGTTTGGAAACAGTCCTACAGAATCCAATATGCTGCAACATAGGCTGGTTCTTGTTTGTATTAACCATATGATAATTTTGGAGATGTTTACTTATGTTTAGGCCTTTGTTATATGGATATATCAAGGCGGTGGTTGGGTGAAAGTCACTCAGTCTGAAACACATTTGTATTTTGGGTATATGAAATGACCGCCTTTCATATATAACCAAAATACAAACAATGCATATTATTAGAATGGCACACAGGGAGGGACCTGCATCACATTACTGTGGACCAATCAAATCCCACTTATGCCAAGCTATCATCCAGTTATATGGATTCAGCATAATTATGCTACTGGGTGAATTCTCATAGTCCCTATTTCTAGATAATCTATCCAAAATCACACAGTGAGGAAAGATTGTTAAGTGACTCAATTTAAACAGTTTAATTGGCTTGGATTAGTTTTGTACCTGATGTAAAACAAAAACGGAATGCAAGATATACATCACATAATGTTTTGCAAACATGATGACTAAACTACAAACCCAATTCCAAAAAAGTTGGGACACTGTACAAATTGTGAGTAAAAAAGGAATACCATAACTGACTTTTTAGATAAAACACAAACAATCTTTGGCAGTTGTTCAAAGTTATAATACATGTGCAAAGAATATTTCCTGCACAAGACAAAATATATTGAAAAAGGTTTTGTTAAATTATTTTTTTAAATAATTCTGAATAGGCTATAAGCATAAGTAACCTGTTAAAATAAGGGGTTTCAAAAAACTCAACTAAAATTAAATAAAAATAAAATTTAAAAATACCCAAAGCCTTGAAGTTGGGACAACATGCCCTCAAGTCCACAAGGGGGAAGTGTTCATACAGAATGTCAAAAACCGTATCCAACAGTACAACACTTTTAGGACATTTTAGGTTCCACCACTTCAACTCTGATTTACACAACACAATCACTATTACAAATGCATGATAACTAAAATTAAGATCAAATTAAGGAATAGTTAAGAGTGTGAAAATGAAGGCTATTTAAGCCTATTGATGAACCTGATGAACATTGAACAAGAATGTCAATGGAATGTTACATTAGGCTAAATCATATTGTTTCGTCTGCGCAAGTAATAATATTTAGGTAACTATTATTGTGCTTTAAGAACAGCTGTAATCTTCAAGTTCTGGCTGAATATCACCACTCTCTCAACAGAGTTCTCTCAATTGATTGGCTGGTTGTAGCCCTTGTTGTGCCCATGTCGTGTGTAAAGAGATATTTAAACAATACAGTTATTGCAAACACAACTGTTATTTCACTATTTATGTTTTCTTCGACCAGTGCTCTCGGAAGCAAGCTGAACTGATCAAGCCGCAACAAACATACCACCAGGGCCGGTTCTAGATATTTGGAGGCCCGCCACTCCCAATAAAAAGCACTTGGAACAAATATGATTCCTAACCTTTTTATTTATACAACATTTCATTTAAATTGTATATAATTTTACTTATACAGTACCGTTCAAATGCTCGGACACATTACAATTTTTTATGTTTTTGAAAATAGTCTCTTATGCTCATCAAGCCTGCATTTATTTGATCAAAAATACAGAAAAAACTGCAATATTGTGAAATAACATTACAATGTAACATAATGGTTTTCTATTTTACTAAACTTTAAAATATAATCTATTTCTGTGATGCAAAGCTAAATTTTCATCAGTCATTACTCTAATCTTCAGTGTCACATGATCTTTCAGAAAACATTCTAATATGCTAATTTATTATCAATGTTAGAAACAGTTGTGCTGCTTAATATTTATTTTATAACCTGTGATACTTTTTTCTGGATTTTTTTCTATATCAATTTAACACATCCTTGCTGAATATTACAGTTTTTTTCTGTGTTTGTGATAAAATAAATGCATGCTTGATGAGCATAAGAGACTTCTTTCAAAAACATGGAAAATAGTAATGTGTCCTAACTTTTGACCGGTATGTATATTAATCTAAGTATGTACATATTAATCGAATCTAACTATTAATCTGTATGTACATATTAATCTAACTTTATCTAAGGTAATCTCTTTTATGTTTGTTGAGGATGTTATTATAACCACCACAATTTTATTATTATTATATTATTATGCAGTAATTTTTTCACAGTTCCTGAATACCACTTCAGTAAACATCATGCTTTTATCATTTCTTAGCTGGGTATGGGCAGGATTTCCCCCTCCCATCTATTGATTACAGATATTGTCATTTTATTAATATTAATAATATGATATTATGTTTTGCATTGTTACCTTAAATATGAAACTGAAACTGAAATTAAATGTTATGTTAGTGCAGTAGGCCTAATGTAATCATCTGCAGAATTGAGAAGATACACACATCTGATGTGCTTTTTTTTTTTTAAACATTAAAAAAAATTTCTAGTGCGTTCTCTTTTTGACTTTGAATACAAGCTTCTTTGCTTTTACTTTTGTAGCTATCTTGCAAGTCAGCTCCCGGCGCGATGTCATTCATTGTACGCGCAAATTCAAAGCGTCGCGTCTGGGCGCGTCAAACGGCGCTCGCGCTCTTTTAAACTCGT